CAATGTCTTTTTAAACTGTCTTATCCCTGATTTCTAGTGCATATAGCAACAGATTTATTATCCTAGTTTTAAGTTGTATTCTTCGATGGTCTTGAAACTGTCGCAAGCTTGCAAGGGAACCGCCTGGATGACAGCTGAATAGCCCTGAACTACTTAGCTGACTTGAGGGTATGAAAGTTATCTTTGCAATACTTTAAGAAATGCTCAGGAGGACTTCTAGAATGTGCGACAGTTTGGAGGGTTTTTAATGTCGCAAATGTTGGATGTGAGTACCGCGCAGTTGAGAAATGATGCGAAACGTAGCACAACACGTGGAGTGAGTTGCAGACGTGAATATTTTGCAAGAACACTTCAAAAAAGGTCCATAAGCAATAAAAAGTTTGCAGTTAGCATTACATTTTAGTCATTGTGACAAAACTTTTTTTATCACAAACACATTTATAAATTCCCCCCCTATGACTTTTACACTTTGACCACAGATCCAGGTATTAATGGTTAAGGGCTGGGTGGCGGCAGATAGATGTCAGTCGAGATGCTGCATGGTGGGACTTGCTGCCACAACTAATAATGTAACTTGCAGCAAGTCCGGCTCCTTTCCCCTGTTGTACCCCAGCTGAAAGCTCTGCTTCTTGCTCTTTGGCAAATTTCTAGCAGTGGAGAATCCTCTAGATCAGTCTTCCCCAACCCCCGGTCCGCGGATTAAATGGTACCGGGCCGCACGGTCTCAGTGCGGTCCGGTCATGCAATATATGGCAGTGTACGGTCCCGCTGTTCGAACACCGGGGGCCCGCACTGCCGACGGGCTTCACAGTGAGGGGGCGGGTCCTGTGACTCGACTCCCCTCCCGGCCGCGTCTATAGTAACAGGCGGCGGGAGGGGAGGTGAGTCACAGGAGACGTGTGTGTGTCACACGCCCCGCCCGGCCCCTGCAGTGAGTGCACACATCGACACATGGCTGCTGCTCCTGGAAGGGTGAGTCTGAGGGGGGGGGGGGGGTGTCTTACATCATGTCATTAGACGTGAATTATAATGGGGAATATTACACTGTAATGTTCCCTATTATAATCTATTTCTCTGTTATGAACTGCTATTTTATGTAATTAGAAAAGTGGATTACAATGGGGAATATTACACTGTAATGTTCCCTATTATAATCTATGTCTCTGATTAAATGATTACAGGTAGGCATGTGATCTATCAAAGTTTGAGACTACGTTAGAATGTGTGACCAGTGACGTGGTCACACATTTTAACGTAATCTCGCCCAGTTTTTCGGTGGTGGAATAGGTGAAGAATTCCAATGCTTTCATTTTTTGGTGTAACTGTATTTTATTTTGAAGGCATTTTTAAATACAATTAAATTAAAATTATTAAATCAAAACAATATAAAATATAAACAATCAACGTCCCCCCCTCAGCGGGCCACGGTAAAATTATCAAACGTTGACCGGTCCGCGGCGATAAAAAGGTTGGGGAGCACTGCTGTAGATGGCTTGCAGCTTTTCTGTGCCTGGCTCCCTCTAGTGGACTCACCATAGAATTCTACTAATAGATGTTTAGATGGAGACTGACTGGCAGCAGTAGCAGCTCATCTGAAAAGCCAAGGTTGGTTTGACGCAGCTTGACTGTGGTCCTGGACAGAGGTCAAGATTGAGGGTTCGGACTCGTAGCAGGGGTCATAACTGATCACCCGTGGGTTGTCTCTCGAAGTAGTGGCAGGTGCGCGCTCTATGTATTATCCCAGTTGATTCAGGTACCAAGAACAGAAATCTCGCTGTAAGGCTTCATACACATGTGCAGCCCCCTTCCCAATCCACTTGTACAAGGTCTCTCCGAGAGATAACTTGGCACTGTTTCCAACCTCTGGCTGGTTGACTGCATTGGGAGTCTGATGAAATCTGTTGTAATCCTCCTTGCCTCTGTGTAACAGTTAAGCCATCCGTGCCGATAATGCTCTCACTCCGCTTTTATTTGTATCATGCAAAGTCTGTCTTTGTGAATAAAGGCTGGAACTAGCAATTGGATCCCCGTGTTTCTCTTGTTGCACATTACAGGGCACATGACAGGGCAAGTAGAGCAAGCCGCTGTGGGGTTGGATGGGGCAAGGGAATGTGGATCTGGGTCAACGGACGGGAATTACATTCTATACCCGATCAAGGCTCTGCCCACTGCGTCCATTGTGTTAGCTACACCCTTAAATTAGTACTGTGCTGGGTAGTGGCATACAGCTACTGTTATGACGCCCCCCCCCCCCCCCCCCCCCCCCTCTCCTTTTTCTTTCCCCACAAACAAA